CTTCTTACGATTAGACTCCATTGGAGGACTCAGGAAGGCCAGGTGTTACTGGTCACACGAAAGGGACTTATTATTATTATCCACTTGATTTGCTTGAGGAAAAATACCAGAAGCTTTCATAAGAAAGGAATTATGCCTCGTTTCATATCCACAGTACTCTGCTTGTTACCACATGTCTTTTGGATTTCCATGCCAGTCAACAAATCTGGGTAAAATTCGTTCGAGCAAATCAGTATTACGAAAAAGCTCCTTTTAGAGACAACAGTCTTTTCATTCTCTCTCTCTTTCTCTTACACATGCACACACACACACACACACACACACACACGCACACACACACACACTCACACACACACACACACGTTAGTCATCAATATTTGAACAAACAAGAGACACGAATGACTTGTAATATTTTGACGGATTTATTTCAATTCAAAGGTGTATCGTATTTTACACATTGAAATATTGAAAGTCACCCATATTTTTTCATGTTCACTCAAGTAAACATAAATTAATAAAAATATATTCGTTCACAGACAAGTAAGACTATTCATTTTTCTAGTACTATATCCCTTACTTTCTCTCTCACTCACTCTCTCTCGCACGCACACGCACGCTCGCACACACGCACACACACGCTGTATCAGTAATAATATGTATCCTTTGAAGTATATAAAAAAAAGAAACTTCTGAGTTTTTCTCGGGATTATTGACATTGTCTCTTTTCATTTTTGTTACTCCTGGCCAGAGAGTTTAAACAGAATCACAATTGTATGTAGATATTAAGTAAATTTAGATTAGTCTGATACAAGGGCATAATAAACGGAGTCTTAATTCAGTAGAATGCTGACAGCTGTTCTCCGCTGATGCTTTGTTTCTTTGCAGTTTGGTGAAACAAAACGAAATGAGAAAAAAGAAAGACAAGTGAAGATGACAAATGATAATAATAATATATATATATATATATATATATATATATATATATATATATATAAAGAAGAATCATATCTATAAGAATATATTTAAAAAGAAAGATCATAACTAAAATGACAAAAAGTGAGGTATCATTGCTACAAGACAACAGAAAAGAAAAGACATAATTATAAGCCGACAATAAAAAGAAAGAAAGGTGTTTCCGGTTCCTTCTACTTGAGCTCTATACTTCTAACGTCTCAGGCTGATGTTTTATTTTTACTAATTATTTATTTATTCTCCTCAATAGGAGTAGATAGGTTCGTCTATCGTCTGGTCTTTTGAACAGGAATAGCGGTTTATCCCTTGTCCCCTGTTTAAGATTGAGTTTCCGGTTCGTTCTAAAGTCTTCCCATTCTCTTTTGCTCACAATAACCCATTGCATCTTAGTGACATTATCGCCTTGCTTGGGGGAATTGATACGATACGACGTAAAAAAAAAAAAAGAAAAAAAAGAAAGAACGAAAAGATTATAATTATAAAACGACAGAAAAGAATTATCGTAAGTCAACAAAGTAGAATGGTCGTAGCTACAGGTCGGCAAAGAAGAATGGTCGTAGCTACAGCTCGACAAACAAGAATGATCGTAGATTCAGGTCGACAAAAAAGAAAACCACACAAAAAAGCAAAGAAGGAATCTTATACATATAAACAAATTATTTTTAAATTCAGTAAATAATTGGATTTAAATTTTTCTGTTTTGGTCAAGATAGGCAATCAGTGTAACTATTTTTCAATTTATTATTTATCTCATGTGAATATAAATATAAAAAAGACGCCTGTTCTTACACGTTTTAAGATAGTAATTATTCTCTCGCACTCTGAAAATGTGCAGTAGACCTCACCCCCGTTTGTCCGTTGTTCGCACGATTGATCTTTTTTTATTTAAATTTGGTTCATAAAGGTAATATGTTGTATAATCAAAATGCTAACCCTCTTAGGATTTTTACCTATAGATGTTATATTTCATTTAAATCTTCTCTTGAAGACTCTATAGAAACAATATTAAATTACTTGTAAGGAGAAAAAAAAGACATAGGGGAAAGAACATGTGTCAGAGGTCAGTTAATCTCGCAGACGATTGCTAACGAGTTCGATTCTCAGTGGTTGTTTCCACCACTGGACGATGGCTGATGAGAATCGTTGATGTTGTGCCAGGCTAAACCTAATTCTTGTGACCAGAGAGAAAATAAAGGGAGAATGATAGTGAGTGACAAAGAAAGACAGAAAGAGAGAGTAAGATTAAAGGAAAGAAACGAAAGAGAAAAAAAGAGAGAGATAAAGAAAAAGAGAGGAAGATAGAGAGAAAGAAAATAGAAAAAGTAAAAGAAAGAAAGATTAGGAAAAAAAAACTATTTCTAACCAACCCGATCAAATATACTTTTCCGTTTTCTTCTTTCTTTCGTAGCCTCCTTCTCCATATATGTTTGTTTCTTTAAGCTCCTACATTTCTTTCTTTCTTTCTTTCTTTCTTTCTTAGCCTCCTTCTCCATATATGCTTGTTTCTTTAAGCTCCTACATTGCTTTATTTCTTTTTTCTTTCTTTCTTTTCTTTCTTTTCTTTCTTAGCCTCCTTCTCCATATATGCTTGTTTCTTTAAAGCTCCTACATTTCTTTCTTTCTTTCTTTCTTTCTTTCTTTCTTTCTTTCTTTCTTTCTTTTTCTTTCTTTCATATTTCTTTCTTAGCCTCCTTCTTTCCAGCCTCCTTCTATATATGCTTGTTTCTTTAAGCTCCATTACATTTCTTTCTTTCTTTCTTTCTTTCTTTTTTCTTAGCCTCCTTCTCCATATTTCTTTTTTTTAAGCTCCTACATTTCTTTATTTCTTTCTTTCTTTCTTTCTTTCTTTCTTTTCTTAGCCTCCTTCTCCTCCTTCTATATGTTTGTTTCATCCTTTCTTTCTTTCTTTCTTTCTTTTCTTTCTTTCTTTCTTTCTTTTCTCCTTTCTTTCTTTCTTTCTTTCTTTCTTTCTTTTTTTTTAGCCTCCTTCTCCATATATTCTTGTTCTTTTTAAGCTCCCTACATTTCTTTCTTTCTCCTTTTTTTCTTTCTTTCTTTCTTTCTTTCTTTCTTTCTTTCTTTCTTTCTTTCTTTTCTTTCTTTCTTAGCCTCCTTCTCCACATATGTTTGTTTCATTAAGCTTCCTACATTTCTTTTCTTTTTTCTTTCTTTCTTTCTTTCTTTCTTTCTTTCTTTCTTTCTTTCTTTCTTTCTTTCTTTCTTTCTTAGCCTCCTTCTCCATATATATGTTTGTTTCTTTTAAGCTCCTACATTTCTTTCTTTCTTTCTTTTTTTTCTTTTCTTTTTTTCTTTCTTTTTTTCTTTCTTTTCCTTTTTTTTTTTTCATTTTTTTTTTTCTTTTCGTTTTTTCTTTTCTTATTTTTAATATTTTCTTATTTTTTTCTTCTTTTTCCGTGTTTGGTTGTTTCTTGCTTCTTTCCTTTATTTGTTCCTTTCTTTTTTCCATTTCTTTGTTCCTTTCTTTTTTCCATTTCTTTGTTTCTTTCTTAAGATCAATGACCCCCACCTACACATAGTTGTATATCTAGATCGGTTTTTCTGTTTAGTTTTGAAGGCTTTTCACGTCCGCAACTATCAATCACATTTTCCGGCCCGACGCTGTCAACAAGTGCATTATTTCTTGCAGTGAATTCTTAAAGTCGTCATCACAGAACGTTTCTCAACAAACTAGTTTTATGGATAATTCTTCCAGAATTATGAGTTCAATGCTCTGTACAAGTGAAGGACGACTAAGCTTAGTAAATATTTGCATGTAAAGTCTGATACAAATCACAAATAACTGTTAGCAACGGTTCGTCAAACCTAGGCTTGCACAAATTTAGATATTTAAATATACCCAGGGAAATGTAGGCGTCATTTGAAACTACTCATTAAGTATTTTACTTAAGAGTTAAATATATATTATTTATGTACAAGTATTAGGGTCTTCGGAAATTAATTCATTGATTTTCGTTTTCTAAGGCTTATCAACTGCTAGCAGCATGGCCCGGCGTTGCCCGTGCTTGATTCAAAAATCGTACAACTCATACAGCAATCACTATCACTTGACTTAAAATATTTTTGCCCTTCCTTGCCTTTAAAGGAGTGCCCTTTGCCTTGCTGATGTTGCTACATGCCTTACTTCTTGCCTATCTCACACTGCGAATTTTTTCTAAGTTCTATACTAAACATTAAATCTGTTACGAAAAAAGAACTAAACAAAATGAACACAAAACGATCAGCTTTAAAAAAAGGACTCGTAACTGGAAAAAGCGAATGAAAAAAGAATGTTAACAACAAATACTTTTTCACACCTAACCCAGTTCTGCGGAATCAGAATCAACGTTGAGTTTAGGCAAGCGAATGAGCCAATTGGAGTAAAGTGCCATGCAGATTTAAATTTTTCCCACTTGTGACGAATGCAGCTATCGATTTTTTTTCATGCTAGTTAACATTCGTGTCAGTCAGCTGTTAGCTCTCACGCTGGCCAATAGAATCTTCCTGCCTATTCGTGGCAGCCAGCTATTGGCTCTCACTGGCCAGTACAAAATGGCCGCAAACTACATGAAAACTACCGTAGAAGCATGAAAAAAATCGTTTATTTCCACTATCGATGGGAGTTGGGAAATGCAAAGTCGGTCTTGGCCTTACCGCTAGCTTGGAGCATGTGTATGTACATTTTGGTGCAAATCCATCGAAAATTGCGGCCGTGCATTCGTTACACACACACACACACACACACACACACACACACACACACACACACACACACACACACACACACATCCTGCCTTTTATAGATAGAGATTTGCAGGTTATAAAGTCAGAAAAAAATTAAATTGTAAGAAGTTGTAGAAGTTGGTTTTAAACCATTATTATCTCCAAGTCTTACTAATTAAATTAGCCGATAGCTGGATTTATACCTTTGCCAAGGGTAAGTGAATACAATGAACACGGACAAAATAGGAAATCGGCCTTTCGATTTCCAGTTTCGGGTCGTTATCCACTTGCTTCCCGCACATCCAAGTTTACAGCATCTGGTATTCCCAAACAGTCACCCATCTAGGTACTGACCAGGCTCGACGTTGCTAAACTTTGGTGATCGTAGGGGAACTGGTGTTTCAAGTAAGCCTGGAAATTAATTACCTTTGACCGAAAAGGATATAAAAATAGATATAAGTTAAATTTATTCAAATCTTATTTAGAAAAAAATCTAATCACCTTCATTTTCAACGACTGCAGCCCAGTGGGAAGAAAAATTTTCGATTCTATGTTTAAATAAATCTGGATTTTCGCTCCAAGACTATTTTCAACACTTTTTGTTTTTCGGTGTTTGTGTTTTGAATGTTCTACCATTTATGAAATGTTCTAGGGATCGAAACAATTGAAAATCTGTATGTCCTGAATCTAGCCAGTACGGAAGATGTAAAAGAAGTTCCCATCCGAATGATCTTATTTTCTTAGGTTTGATTTGCAGACTTGTACTTGTTCACTGTCATACTCTGGCAGATAACACCTTTTCTGCTTAACGAAACAGAACACTAAGATCAGAAATGGCACCATGACATTTTCCACTGAGCAATTTTTAAAAAAATCACACATATTTTACATAGATAAAGCCCGTAAAGTGTGGATTGTACTCGTGAGAACAATTTTTTAGTATTTCTTTAAGGCATGGGCTACCAGGAATCCCTTCAAAGAGTATATTGGATTCTTTTTCAATCAATCCGAGGGATCCAAATACAACTGGAATTGTTGATGTTCTCATGTACCACATTTCTGAGATTTCGATTTCAAAGTCCTTGTATTTTGATAGTTTTTTTTGAAAATCTTCAAAGATACATTGCAGTTTGCAGGGATTGCCATGTTAATAACAACTAGCAGTAGAGACCGGCGTTGCCCGGGGATGTAACAGTAAGAGATAGATCAAGTATCGACCATCATAAAGACTGAAAAATAAAATTGACAAAGATTATTGTTTAAGGTTGACGGACACGCATGTCTTAATTAGTTTTTTTTTTTTTTTTTTTTTTACGAATTGGTCAAACCCAAACTCAAACAAAAACATTGTTTTCAAGTGTTATGAGTCTACTGATTGAATAGAATTTTATTATAAACAATTGTCTTGTAAATGGAATTTTTAAAGCATTTTGAATGTAAAAATAAAGAAAAAAGTGTGCAAGACAATAAGAAACACTACCTGCCAAAAAAGTAAAGTTTTGTTGAAATCGGTTGAAAAATGTAAGAAATCCGATCCCATATATAAACGAACGAACACACACACACACACACACACACACACACACACACACACACAACCTGGGTTTTATAATAAGTATAACTCGATATGAATTATCCCCCTTTCATTCTGGCGACAGTGATGCCTCTTCAAATTTGTTTCTTGCAAAAACAATTGTGCTTTTTCAATTTTTGGTGCTGTCACAACCACCGCAAGGTAATTTTACGTAGTTCTGTGAAGTTTTGTTGAAATCGGTTGAAAAATGTAGGAAATCCGATCCAATATATAAACGAACAGACACAAGCACACAACCTGGGTTTTATAATAAGTATGATGTACATTTTGTCTTTGCGGTCTCTAATCACGATGTCTGTGCGATTAGCTTTGATTGTTCTGCCTATGTGTATTGTGAAGTGCAATAAAATTTTTACAGGTCCTATCTCCGTAACCGGGTCTGAGTGGTGTTCATACCAATTTATTGCAGTTTACTTTCCATACAAGTTGCAGATTTTCCAGTGCAGATATTGGCCCACTCTGTCTGTCACGCCGAGTTTTATATTCAGTGGGTGCCAATACCGCGCAACCTGATACAAGATTATCAATTGTTTCCCGATATTTATCACAGAATCTGCATTTTGGGCTAACACAATTTTTCAGTATGTGTGATTGGTAATTTCTAATTAACAAGCATTGGTCTTGTGCAGCAAGTATAAAAACTCCGGTTTCGGCTTTTAACTCTACACTACGTAATCACTGATGAGTACGGGGTTTGTCTACATCAGCTTGTTTGATACGAGCAGAGTAATGGCCCTGAAGCGGTTTATCTTGTCATCGTTTCTCTATCTGGTCGGTTGCATTTGGCTATGCCATTGCCTTCTTTTTAAGTATTTTGCAGCTTCCGTCGGTGTATTATGCATTATTTGTATTTTTCACCCATTTGAAGCTACATTTTGAACTTCTCTTCTTCTTCTTCTTCTTCTTCTTCTTCTTATTATTATTATTTGTGTATGTTATGTTTCCTGCTTTGTATCCTGTAGAACCGGGTCCTAACTATGGTCCTTAGACCCTATAGGAGAATTGTCATTTAACTGATAGAATTTTCTTAGTATATAGTATGTTCCTAGTAGGGCGATCTTCTGGGGAACTTGTATGTCGATGTTACCTGGGACTCTGTTAGTAAAATTGTCCATTCCTTTACACACGAGGCCCAGAGCTTCGACACAGTATCTTGGTACAGTCTCAGGCTTCATTCCCCACATCCTGTTCATCTCGATCTCCAGGTTCTTGTATTTGGATAATTTCTCGATAATTTTCATGGAGATGTTTCTTTTAGACGGTACTGCTATGTCAATAAGCATACACTTCCTGAATTTGTTGTCTTTTATGATAACATCAAGTCTTTTGGATTTTATTTCCCTGTCCCTTTGAATTGGCACGTCCCAGAGGATAGTTACATCGTTATTTTGGGTTACTGTGTCTGGTTGGTGGTCATACCATCTCTCATTGGTTTCGATTTTGTTCTTCTTGCATATCTTCCACTGCACATATGTCGCCTCATTGTTATGTCTATGGGTATATTCATTTTTTGCTATTTCCGGTCATCCTGAGATAATATAGTCAACGGTTTCATCCTATTTTCCGCAGATACTGCATGGATCTGGTTGTGAGACTTTGGTCCTGAGTTGCAATAATTAGGTCTTCTGTCTCAGCTTTCAACCAGGTGCTCCTCAGCCATTTGTGTGTTTTCTGTTGGTCCACATCTGCTTCTTTCGTTCTTTTTAAGTATTTGCCATGCAACGCCTTGTCCTCCCAGTTTTGATGTAATTTCATTTGGCCAAGTAGTTTTGCTTTCCGTTTTACTCGTTTGGTGTAGATGGCATTCCTTTCGTTTTTTTGTTGGTCGGATTTCAGGTATATTAAGCTGTTTCTTGAAGAGTGCATCTTCTTTGTTTATGGAGTGGATTTGGTGTTTTAGTATTTGTAGGAGGGGTTTCATTGGTTCTTTGTGAGGTATGCTTCCAATCCGATTGTTGTAGTTTCAGAGTTCAAGTTGGATTAAACCTCGGCCTCCTAAAGCTCTTGATACGTTCAGCCTATCAACATCTGATTTCGGGTGGCGTATCCTCATTTGGGTAAACATTTTTCTGGTCTTGGCTTCCAATCTTTTAATGTCATTCAACTTCCATTTAAAAATGTTGAAGCTATATGTTACTACGGCTATAGCTAAGATGTTGATAGCCTCCATTTTATTGACCCCATTAAGTTCGCTTTCTATATCTTTCCGCTAATATTCCTTTCGGAACTTTTTCTTCATAACTGAATGTTGTATTCCGTCTCCTTCATTAATTCCTAAGTAACTGTATCATTTTGGTCCAGTTCCTTAATCTTGTTGATGATATTAAGATCTAAATCCGCATTTTTCGTTAGTTTACCTTCTTTAAAGGTGGCTTTGGCACATTTTTTGATTTCGAACTCCATTCTAATGTCTTCGCTGAAGGTTATGACAATGGTGAGTCTTTTTTTTGCTGGATGCCATCCTTGGTAAACGTTTTAAGATCACCAGTATAGAATAGGTGATTCAGTTTGTCATTCTTCATCTTGTATCCGTAAATAATGTTGTTCAATATACAGCTGAGTGGCAGAAGTGTAGTGGTGACAATGAATCTCCTTGGAAGATCCCGCTTTTAATATTGATCGTTCTCGATGTTAATGACCCGTTTGTATGGTTTAGATGTAGTGTAGTCTTTCAATTTTTCATGCTATTATGAATTTGACCGTTGAGGGGGCAGATTTTTAGGCTCTTCTCTATCCATGAGTAGTCAATCCACACTTTCCATAAGTTTCTTTTCCTTGTTTTCATCTCTTCCAATATTGTTTTATTGATAATTAGTTGGTTCTTGCACCCATAACTTCGTCTTTTACATCTCTTCTGTTCTGCTAGGAGTAAATTGTTTTTCTCAAGGAAATTATATATCCTTTCGGTGATGATAGAAATGAGGATCTTGTATAGTGTTGGTAGGCAGGTGATGGGCCTATAGTTCTTCGGGTTCTGCGTCTCTTCTGTTTTTGTTAGTAGGTATGTTACTCCCCACGTGAGACATTTGGGGCATTTTCTGGGTTTATAATTATACCATTGTGTGCCTGTGCGAGGTGGGTGCTAGATAGTTTCTTTTATATCAAAAAACTAGCTATTTGGTTTATTCCTGTTGCTTTCTAAGTTTTGGTTTTGCAGATAGCAGCGGTTGTTTCAGTAATATTGATATCTGTCCATTTTTGAAATTCTATATGTGTGTGTTATTCCTGTAGTTGCTTGATCCATGTAGCTCTTTCATTGTACATTTTGTAGTTTTCCTACACTTTAAAAGAGAACTCCTCAACTTCCTGGATATTAAATGTGTCATTTATCTCTATTTTATTTTCCCCAGTTCTCGATATAGTTTCTTGGCGTCTTCTTTGAAGATTTTGTTTTATCAGAGTTCTTTTCTTTTTTATAACCCCTGATTCTCTCTGCTTTGGCTTGAATTTGTTGTTTCAGCTTATCTTTAATTTTTGGTACGTCAATTTTATTCTTTATGCCAAAGCTTCGTTTCAGTTGTCTCATTTTCTTTCTTTCATTCTCGACCCCTTATCTACTTCACTTAGAAATGACAATTGTCCTAGTAGTTTATTTATTTCGGTTTCTATTTTTTCTTTCCAGACTGGCTTTTTTCTTTTTCATTTACGTTGTGCTTTTATTTTTTCACCTGTTGTTTCCGCGATCGTTGCCGAGGTCGCGTATATAAGATGATTAAAGTTTATCAGTTTTTCCGTTTCGTTCCTTGTTTTTCTAATTGTTGGTTAGCGAGGTTGATGGTTTCCTTCACTTGACAGTTCTTTTTTACTTTTGG